GTCCTTCTTCATCTTTGAGGGGGTGTTAAATAAAAAAAATGTATAAAAAGAAGATGCTGGCAAAGGCGCCAAAAATCTATCGTCGCTGAAATTCAGTTCAATATGATAAAAAATTTCTAAATCAAGTTATTTCAGAGGCGGACGAGATAGAAAACACACTATATTTTTTCAAAGAACAGTTTTTAACTAATCAAATTTTCTCAATAATGTCACACGTTCAAAGCTCTACAAATTTCACGACTCCCCTGACGAAGTTGCCGCCACCATACTTTTCAGCCTTATTTTAAACATATATATATATATATATATATATATATATATATATATATATATATATATATATATACTAGCAGTAGAGCCCGGCCTTGCCCGGGGATATAACAATGAGATAGATCAAGTATACACCATCATAAAGACTGAAAATAAAATTGACAAAGATTATTGTTTAAGGTTGACGGACACGCATGTCTTAATTAGTTTTTTTTACGAATTGGTCAAACCCAAACTCAAACAAAAAACATTGTTTTCAATCGTTATGAGTCTACTGATTGAATAGAATTTTATTATATATAATTGTCTTGTAAATGGAATTTTTAATTTTTTTTTTTGTTTGAGTTTGGGTTTGACCAATTCGTAAAAAACAAAAAAAAAACTAATTAAGACATGCGTGTCCGTCAACCTTAAACAATAATCTTTGTCAATTTTATTTTTCAGTCTTTATGATGGTGTATACTTGATCTATCTCTTACTGTTATATCCCCAAGCAACGCCGGCTCTACTGCTTGTATATATATATATATATATATATATATATATATATATATATATATATATATATATATATTTATTATGTTCATCCTATGAATAAATCATTCACATCTTATATTCAACGCTCACCAAACGCTGAAACCTGACAGTAAACAAAAAAATTAGTTTTAAAACATCAGTTTATGATTTATTTCATTTATACATTTCTATTTTACAGATTGAGAGACCGAATGATCCGTTGTTCAACTTCCAGGAGTTCATTATATTCACTTACCCTTCGGTAAAATGTATGAATCCAACTCTTTTCCCCTCCAGCTATGGGTAAATAGTAGGACGTATGGCATGCATATATATATATATATATATATATATATATATATTATTTTGCCTGCTGTTGACTAGCAACATGACATTTTTCATCAGTTTCATTTCCTGTTAAATGCTTGTCAATATGTACAGTCACTTATTCCTTTTAAACACTCAGCCAACCACTACAAATTTATCCTCGATAATGTGGATTTTCATTCGCACTCCTGTCTTTGAACGACATGCAGTTTCTTGCATCATGACGAAAATCTCATTGAGTGGGCTAATATAAATTCTTTTTTGAGAGATTCCGAAATGTAAACTTCCTGTCTCTTTGTTACGTCTTCATAGTTAATATTTGTGTTGCATTCTGTGCCGTTTCAGTGTCTCCATGTTACTACATAAAATGGTATTAACAAAAAGGACAATTTCTTTTTCTTATTCGTTTTTATTAGTATACAGAGACAGACCTGTCAGATTGGATTCTAAGAGGGACACATGTTGCATGTTGTCTTTCCGAATGTGGTCTTCGTCCCTTTTGAATCTGGGTGTGGGAAGCATATCGACGCTTCAAAATACTTGCGGTTCTCTGTTGAATTCGCACCGTACTGATCTTATAACTTATATCCAAAAGCCAGACAAAGACAATACATCATTTTCAGAATACCACGCCCACAGGACACTCCAGCCAATCGTTGAACATTCTGGCCTGACAGAATTTAGGTCGATTCTTTTAACAGAATATAGCATGGTGTCAAATTGTCCAACAGATTGTAATTTTAATTAAATTTTCTATATACATGTTCTATAGCGTACATGTTAAAGATTTGGGAAGAGATAATAAGACGAGTGCGAGTTAATCCGTTTAGTCTGTTGCGCTAACTTGCATATTAATAAACGCGGGAGAGAGACATGTATCCAACTGTTTCGCTTCCCATCATTTATAGTTTCCCGCACACATATCAGTGAACTATTCTCCTCAAATATTCAATACAAACTCGGCAATCCCTGAAACATGTTTCTTTTTACCAAGTATAAATAAAATAGTGACAATATTTACAATGTCCGGACTGTTGTCCTTATCTTTGTTGTAATATTCATGACATTTCGGCTGTTGTGCGCTCCGATCTTCTTCAGGATCTGTTTATATTTCTGAGATGAGGTATTGCATTTGTTCACACAATTTACACTATTCGGGCTGTTTTCCTCATATTTATTGCAATATTCATGACATTTCAACCATTGTACGCTCCGGCCTTCTTCAGGATCTGTCTATATTTCTGAGAAGAGATATTGTAAATATTTACTCTGTTACTCACTATTTATATGCTCCGGCCTTTTCAGGTGATTGGAATTTCGAACGGAACCCTTTATTTCGTCCACTGGATTAGCGTGTTCTTGTTTCACATGCCAGGGCTCTTCTGGATATATCAGTTTTCGGCTGTTATGGCCTTGTATAAGTGTCTAGCAGTAGAGCCCGTCGTTGCCCGGGGATGTAACAGTAAGAGATAGATCAAGTATCGACCATCATAAAGACTGAAAAATAAAATTGACAAAGATTATTGATTAAGGTTGACGGACACGCACTTCTTAATTATTTTTTTTTTACGAATTGATCAAACCCAAACTCAAACAAAAACATTGTTTTCAATCCTTATGAGTCTACCGATTGAATAGAATTTTTTATTATAAACAATTGTCTTGTAAATGGAATTTTTAAAGCATTCTGAATGTAAAAATAAAGAGAAAAGTGTGCAAGACAATAAGAAACACAAACTGCCAAAAAAAGTGAAGTTTTGTTGAAATCGGTTGAAAAATGTAGGAAATCCGATCCCATATATAAATGAACCCAGACACACACACACACACACACACACAGACACACACACACACACAAACAAACAAACAACCTGGGTTTTATAATAAGTATAACTCGATATGAGTTGTCCCCCTTTCATTCTGGCGACAGTGATGCTCTTAATTGTGTTTTCAAATTGATTTCGTGCAAAAACTATTGTATTTTTCCAATTTTTGGCCCTGTCAAAACCACCGCAAGGTAATTTTAGTAGTCCTGTGAAGTTTTGTTTAAATCGGTTGAAAAATGTAGGAAATCCGATCCAATATATAAACGAACAGACACACACACACACGACCTGGGATTTATAATAAGTATGATATATACTTCCTTTACAATTGGAATAAGGATACCTTTAGATAATGACCATTTTCACCAATGAATTTTAAAATCCGCAAGATTTATGAAAGTGTTTATGGTATAAGTTTGTAGTGGGATACTGGTCTCTTTGGTTTGAGAGTATCTTTAGATTTTCAAACATGTATCCCACTACAAACTGATACCATTAACATTTTGAAAAATCCTGTGAGTTTAAAAAATTCAAATGTGTAGGTGAAATGGTCATTAACTAAAGGTATCTAATTCCAGTTTAAAGAAAACTTGTTCTGTTTAAGGAAAATATACATTAAGCGGTCTTTTTGTGAATATATATATATATATATATATATATATATATATATATATATATATATTATTTCTTTAAAGATATGATTCCAACTCGCGACATAAGAGGTCTCATATTTGAAAACAAGAGCCGAAAAACTTCAATATAATTATTTGAATTAAATAGAATTAAAGTAAGCTTTGTTTCATCTTCAAGCGAAATGTTTTTTGAATAACTTATTTCTGAAAATTACGTGTTTTAATAGTATATTCATAATTTAAATCAAAATTTTCATGGTAACATCCTGGGCGAATTGTTTAAAATAGGGAGGGGTGTGTTGGGTGTTAATAATACGTATCAGTATAGAGTTACTTTCATCGATGTCAAGTCAGGGTAAGGTGGGGGTGTCTAAATTTGAAACGGAAGATGTTTTCGCCTAGTCTGGTTTACGTGTCTATGGAGATTTATTTATTTTTTTATTTTATTTCTTTATGAAAGGGATATATATATATATATATATATATATATATATATATATATATATATATATATGCGTGTGTGTGTGTGTGTGCGTGAGTATGTGTGTGTGTGTGTTTTGCTTCTGTGGTGGTGGTTGAAAAACCTTGTTCTGTTTATATGCAGATTGCTAGATGTTGTAACGAATGTTCCTCAGTGTTTTAATAATTTCAACCATCACTGGTTATTTGTGTAAAACGAATTAATATACGGTTCCGAAACTCAGTAAAATTTTATTTTTTTTGTCTTTTTACTTCATCATTTTGCATTGAAAGTTATAAATTTAAATCATATTTTGATGTCATCATTATTTATAATAATTTGCCTCAAGTGATGCGATAATGCCAAAATAATTCGAAAGAACTCTGGTAGAAACAATTATTCTTTCATTTGAATTTCCCGGATATGGGCATTATTATATCCGTGATATTATAAAACTGTATTTCAGGGACGCGAAACACGTTTTATTCTCAGAGAGAGCTTTATATTTCTAAAACATACGCATAAATATATACATATATACAAGTGAGAAAATATATCAAATATATCTTCACGGCAAAGCACAGTGTAAGGACAAACAAAAAGGAAATATCATACATATAATATGGAGATATTCCTGTGTCTGGAGAAGGCATTTTAGGACTTCAGATTCAAACGAGCCGGATTTATCTACTATACCCATAAAGGGGAAATGGCAAGTCTTGGCTTTTCCCAAATTGAGGACCGCGAGCCGGACTTTCTTTCTATAACTTGGAAAGATATATTCCCAAAGGGAAACAGCACCATGGACTCGTAAGCTGCTGGAGAGGCCAGTGGGGTTGGGGAATTTGTGGAGTCGGGGCAGGTGTGGGGCTGGGCTAAACAAGCAACTTTATGGTTCCGCTATAGTAAACCAACTGAAATTGACTGCCGCTTTTGTCACTGTATTGAGTTACGCAACCGTCACATGAGCCACGGGATTTATTTCCACGCTTTCCTTCATTTTACCTTTTTTTTCTCATTTCTATCATTACTTCTCATTTATTATTTTCTTTCCTTCTATTCTTTCTTTTCTATTTCTTTTACCCTTTTTTCCTTGCTTCCACGCATTCTATCCCAATACCTTCCATCCAATTCTGTCTTTAACCATTTTTTTCATCGATACATTCATTCATTCCTTCTTTTTGTTGTTTCTTTCTATCCATTTCTTTCGTTATTTCTTAGTTTCCTTTCTTAACTTCATTTTTTTCTTCATTTCCTTCATTCTCAAGTCTCTTTCTTTATTTTTTTTCATAACTCCTTCATTCCTTCCTTCCATCATTCCTTCATTTTGTCTCTTCTTTCTTTCCCTCTTTCGTTTTCCTCTCTTCCTTCCATCCACTCTTTCCCTTTATTTCGTTCTTCCTTATATTCCTTCCTTCTGTCCTTCATTCTTTCTTTCCTTCTTTTTGTCGTTTCTTTCTTTACTTTCCTATTTCGGTAATCCTTTTTTTTTTCTTTTTCAGTTCCTTCCTTCTTTCCATCATTCCTTTCTTCTTTCCTTCCTTTTTTGTCGTTTTTTCTTTATTTTCTTCAATTCCGTTAATCCTTATTTTACTTTTTCAGTTCCTTCCTTCTTTCCTTCCTTCTTTCTTTCCTTATTTTTATCGTTTTTCTTTACTTTGCTCTATTCCGTTAATATTTTTTTTATTTTTTCAGTTCATTCCTTCTTTCCATCATTCCTTCCTTCATTTTTTTGTCGTTTTTTTTTTAATTGTGTCGTTCTTTTTCAGTTCCCCCCTTCTTTCCTTCCTTCTTTCCTTCCTTCTTTCTTTTCTTATTTTTATCGTTTTTTCTTTACTTTCGTCTATTCCGTTAATCCTTTTTTTGCTTTTTCAGTTCCTTCCTTCCTTCTTTCCTTCCTTCTTTCCTTCCTTCTTTTTATCGTTTTTCTTTACATTCCTCTATTCCGTTAATCCTTATTTTACATTTTCAGTTCCTTCATTCTTTCCTTCCTTCTGTCTTTCCTTCTTTTTTTCGTTTTTCTTTACTTTCCTCTATTCAGTTAATCTTTTTTTTTACTTTTTCAGTTCCTTCCTTCTTTCCATCATTCCTTTCTTCTTTCCTTCCTTTTTTTGTCGTTTTTTCTTTATTTTCTTCAATTCCGTTAATCCTTATTTTACTTTTTCAGTTCCTTCCTTCTTTCCTTCCTTCTTTCCTTCCTTCTTTTTATCGTTTTTCTTTACTTTCCTCTATTCCGTTAATCTTTTTTTTTATTTTTTCAATTCCTTCCTTCTTTCCATCATTCCTTCCTTCGTTCCTTCATTTTTTTTTTGTCGTTTTTACTTTATTTTCTTCTATTCGGTTAATCTTATTTTCACTTTTTCAGTTCCTTCCTTCTTTCCTTCCTTCTTTCCTTCCTTCTTTCCTTCCTTCTTTTTATCGTTTTTCTTTACATTCCTCTTTTCCGTTAATCTTTTTTTTACTTTTTCAGTTCCTTCCTTCTTTCCATCATTCCTTCCTTCCTTCTTTCCTTTTTTGTCGTTTTTTCTTTATTTTCTTCTATTCCGTTAATCCTTATTTTACTTTTTCAGTTCCTTCATTCTTTCCTTCCTTCTGTCTTTCCTTCTTTTTTTCGTTTTTCTTTACTTTCCTCTATTCCGTTAACCTTTTTTTTTACTTTTTCCGTTCCTTCCTTCTTTCTTTCCTTCCTTCTTTCCTTCCTTCTTTCTTTTCTTATTTTATCGTTTTTCTTTACATTCCTCTATTCCGTTAACCCTTTTTTTTTTACTTTTTCAGTTCCTTCCTTCTTTCTTTCCTTCTTTCCTTCCTTCTTTTTGTCGTTTTTTCTTTACTTTCCCCTATTCCGTTAATCCTTATTTTACTTTTTCAGTTCCTTCCTTTCATCTTACCATCCTTCTTTCCTTCCTTCATTCCTCATCTTTGTCGTTTCTTTCTTTACATTCCTCTTTTTTGTTATTCCTTATTTTCCTTTTTCTGTCCCTTCCTTTCATCCTACATACCTTCTTTCCTTCCTTCCTGCCTTCTGTCGTTTCGTCTCTTTATTTCGCTTTTCATTATTTTCATATTCTTCCTTCTTTCTTGTACACATTGCTCCCCGTTAACATTCATTTTTGCTTCTTTCCTTTTTTTTAATCTTTCTTTCTCGTTCCTTTTCCTTCCGTTCTTCTTTCTTTCTTGCCTTTTATTGTTTCTTTCTTTTCCTTTGACATTTGTCCTTATTTTACGTCAATCATTTTTTCACTCATTCATTCTTTACTTTCTCCATTTTTTCCTTTATTGATTTTGTTTCATTCATTCCCTAGATTTCGTTCATCCTTAAATTCCTTTCTTTACTTTCTATTTTTTTTAAATTCTTTCTGTTGTTTATTTCTTTATTTCGTCTTATATTTCCTTTAATCACTTCCTTCCTCTCTTCCTTCATCTCTTTCTTCCTTCATACTGATTTTTCTCTCTTTCCTTTTTTCGTTTCGCCTTACTTCTCTTACTTCCTTCCATCTCTAATTTCTTTCTTCCCATTTATTTAGTTCTTCCTTTCTTCCTTCTGCCGTTTTTTCTTGCCATATTTCATTCCTATTCAATTACTTTCCTTCCTTACTTCCACCCGTCTTCTCTTATTTCCCTTTGTTTCATTCTTCCTTCCTTTCATCATTACACCCTTTTCCATCTGTTTTTTTTTCATTCCATTTATTTCCTTCTTCCTTCTTCCTTCCGTCCTTCCTTCCTTCTTTCTAACTTTCCTTCTTTCTTTCCGTTTTCCTTTCTTTTTTCCCTTCATTTCGTTCTTCCTTCCTTCTCGTCGTCCATCATACTTTCCTTTGTCGTTTCTTTCTAATTCTTTCTTTCTTACCTTTTATTTTTTTCGTTTTTCTTTCATTCTTCCTTTCTTCCGTGCGTCTGTCTTAACTTCCCCGTTTCTTTCCTTCCATCTTTTCTTCCATTCATTCCATTTGTGATTTCTTTTTTTTACCCTTAATTTCATTCTTTTTGTCATGTGTAAGCCCTTTCGTTCTGCCTTCTATCTTTCCTGTTTTGTTATTTCTTTCTTTCCAATTATGACTTCCTTCCCTCCTTTTTTCCTTCCACCCTTCCTTCCAACTCTTCTGCTGTCTTTCCTCCATTGTTTTCGTTATCATTTTTTTATTTATTTCATTCTTAACTTCCTTGTCCGTTCTTTCTACTTTCCGTTGTCATTTTTTTTATTAACTTTTCATATTTTCTTTCATTCTTCATTTACTTCTTTCCTTCCATCTTTCGTTCCTTCATCCCATTCATGATTTCTTTGTTAACTATTATTTCATACATTTTGTCGTAAGTCCTTCCAGTCTGCTTATCTTTCCTGTTTTCTCATTTCTATCTTTCCAATTATGTAGTCATTCCTTTCTTCCTTCCTTCTTTCTTTCCTTTCTTCATTCATTCATTCATTCCTTCATTCATTCATTCCTTCCTTTCTTCCATCCTTCCAACCTTCATTCATTCATTCATTCCTTCATTCATTCATTCCTCCCTTTCTTCCATTCTTCCATCTTTCATTCATTCCTTCATTCATTCATTACTCCATTCATTCATCCCTTCCTTTCTTCCATCCTTCCAACCTTCATTCATTCATTCTTTCCTTCATTCATTCATTTATTCCTTTCTTCCTTCCTTCTTTCATTTATTCTTTCCTTCCTTCCTTCCTTCCTTCCATCATTCATTCATTCCTTCCTTCCTTCATGCATTCCTTCCTTCCTTTCTTCCTTTCTTCCTTTCTTCCTTCCTTCCTACTCTTCATCTGTCTTTCCTCCATTTTTTCGTTATCCTTTTTTAACGTTATTTTAATCTACCTTCCTTCCTTCTATCCGTCCTTCCTAGTTTCCATTGTTTTCTTTTATCCTTCCTTCTTTCCTTCCATCTTTCCTTCCTTCATTCTATTTGTGATTTCTTTTTACCCATTATTTCATATATTTTTTCGTCTGTAAGTCCTTCCGTTCACGCTTCTATTTTTTCTGTTTTGTTATTCCTTTCTTTCCAATTATGTCGTCAATCCTTCCCTCCTTCCTTCCTTCTGTCCATCTGTCCTTCCTTCCTTCTATACTTTTTCCTTCCGTCTTTCCAACTCTTCTTCTGCCTTTCTTCCATTCTTTAGGTTATCCTTTTTTGATTTATTTCGTTCTACCTTCCTTACTCTCCGTCCTTCCTACTTTCCGTTGTCATTTTTTCTTATCCTTTCTTATTTTCTTTTATTCTTCCTTCTTTCTTTATTAACTAAGGGAAAAGAACAATAAAAGAATAATAATTACGACAGAAGATAACGATTGGCATTACATTTAAATTCTTGAAGATCAGTTTGCTAGAAAGCATAAGTCTGCAAGAGAGTTCCATAAGTGAGTAGTGCGTTAGAAGAAACGGTTAGCATATAATTTACGGTTGCATCGAACCAATTCAACTGTAAATATATGAGACCTTGCCGCCAATCTAGTACTGAGCTTAAAGTCGTAAACTCTAGTTACCATAGCGTAAGATTTATATAAACAATTTCTATGAAAGTATTTATAAAAAAGGCATTGAGAATGCATATTGTGGCAGGAAGAATGTGATTGAAGCCAAATTTAGCCATAATATTCATGGCATTGACGAATGGTCCAGTTGTAAATATATAAGTTAGGTGCAAGAGAGATTTATTTGTTTTTATTCTTTCATTCTTCCTTCTTTCTTCTCTTCCATCTTCCCTTCCTTCACTCTATTTGTTATTTCTTTGTTACCCATTATTTCTTTCTTTTTTGTCGTCTGTAAGTCCTTCCGTTCTGTATATCTTTCCTGTTTTGTTATTTCTTTCTTTCCAATTATGTCTTCCTTCCTTCCTTCCTTCCTTCCTTCCTTCCTTCTGTCCTTTCTTTCTTTCATTTTCTTTTCCTTCATATTTCCATTCTTTCTTTTTCTAATCTAACCCTGAGAAATTTCAAATTTAGGAATGTTATCAAATCTATTCAATATCCCTCTACTCTAGGACTTAGTTATAAATTCACCCGGAAATCCCATATCTATATAGAATTTCTGTAATTTGTTCCTGTAATTTTGTCTCTTTCAATGGTCTCATTTTAATTTTCTTTCATCAATCGTGTCTTCTAATTTCCTGACAAAAAAGGAATTTTATTGAATTGCATCAAAGGCTATTTATAAAATTCTTAAATAACTCTCTGAATTTACTTGCAAAATAATCAGACAACAATGAAAAATCTCATTACGGAAAAAAATAGATAAGCAAATCTTTTGCCATTGCGTCAATATCGAGAATTCGGTCCTCGTTAATTTTTCCATCGACAATGATCTTGTGAAAAATATCAATATTGGAAGAATGGGAGACGTTGACCTTAATCTTTGTTCCGATCAATATTCGATAATCATTTTTAATTGATTGATTTGATTTAAAATCGAAGATTGCTGAAATCAGAATTATAGGAAGAACTCTGTTTGCCGAGTTTAAAGGAAATTCTGATTTTGTACAGCATGAAATTAAATAAAACTTACGCTTGTAGACAGATAGATAGATAGATAGATAGATAGATAGATAGATAGATAGATAGATAGATAGATAGATAGATAGGAACACACCGAGATAGATAGATAGATAGATAGATAGATAGATAGATAGAAACACACCGAGATAGACAGATAGATAGATAGATAGATAGAAACACACCAACATAGATAGATAGATAGATAGATAGATAGATAGATAGATAGATAGATAGATAGATAGATAGGTACGAACACACCGAGATAGATAGATAGATAGATAGATAGATAGGAACACACCGAGATAGATAGATAGATACGAACACACCGAGATAGATAGATAGATAGATAGATAGATAGATAGATAGATAGATAGATAGATAGATAGATAGATAGATAGGCAAAAAAACGATATAATAATGAGATTTTCCGTTGCCATAGTAATATTTTTCGCAATTTAATTTTTCCAATTATTAATTCTATCCACCAATTATTCTCGTATTCTCTAACGAGCGTTCCTCTGTTTGAAATGCTTATTAATTCACGTGAAAAATTCGTTGACAGCGTTCGATAGATGTCATATCTTAAATATTTTTTTTTCATCGCCGGAAATAAAATAGAATGAATATATGACACTCTACATGTCACGCTACTTAGTTTTAATGATAAATACAACAAACTTGAGGCTTTATAATGATAAATATTTTAAAATGCGATATTTAGTTATGAACATTTTCATAAAAATAATGGCGTATTGTCTTCAATCCTTTCTGTTAGAATGATTTCAAATCTGACACTTTAATATCTGTCAATTATATTAAAATACAGTAATATCCGAGTAAAGATTTTATTACTTTAAAATAATAAAAAAAAACGATCCCCGATTTTTTAAATAAATTATTTCACCTCAAGCAAGGCGATAATGTCACTAAGATTCAAGTTGTTACTGGGAATGAAAGAAAATAAGAAATCTTTAGTCAGGAGAACAGGCAATAAGAGAACAAGAATTATAAACACATAACATGACGATTGGAATTGTATTTACAAATTGTAAGTAAACGGAAGATAGAAACCGGAATAGAGTTCCACAATAGAGAAGTGCGAGAGAAGAAACTATTAACATAGGACCTACAGTTACATCTAGTTAGTTCAAAAGTAAAACAGTGAGATTCAATCGAGGTCTCTCCGAGCGGACTAATATTTCCGAATTGGGAATATTTATAAGAAGGGGTATTATATAATTGAAGCTGACAGAAGATGGAGATAATGCCACTAAGCCGCGAGAGTGTTAAAGGAAGTGAAAAAGATATGAGAAAATTTTAGAAAAAGCGATAAAAGAAGAGGATCCAGAAAGACAGAAGATAGCGATTGGCATTGCATTTAAATTTTTGAAGATTTTTTTTCTGGCAGGTAGGTAAGAAACCGCAAGAGAGTTCCACAGGCGAGAAAAGAAACGATTAGAATAAAATTTACGGTTACTACTCGACAGACTTTTTACCCCATCTAGAAGCGCACTTGAATTCATGCTGTCTAATTGCTAAGGAGGCCTCATTGCCATGAAAGTATTTATAGAAACCTGACTGATGTCGAGATGCCAGATGGAGAACATTAACATTGCGGAAAACCTCAAGATATACAGGGTGTTTCAAAAAGAATACGCCAAAATCATCACATGATGTGTCAAAAACGAAAAAAATTACAAACCTCTAGCATGAACACATGTGTTGTATATACATTCAAGTTTCATTTCATGTTTTATAAGTGTTCAATGTGGCCACCACCGGCAGCGCGGACAACATCAAGCCGATATGAGAATTCCTCCCACACGCGCCTCAGCATGTCACGGTCCACTGTGTTGATTGCAGCTGTTATTCGATTTTTCAAGTCATCGATACTTGCTGGAAGTACTGGAACATAAACTTAGTCTTTAACGTACCCCCACAAGAAAAAGTCACAGACAGTGAGGTCCGGGGATCTGGCAGGCCAAGCACAGAGAGCAAGGTCTTTAGCACCTCTCCTCCCAATCCATCATTGAGCCACGTTTTCATTCAGATAAGCTCTAACCACGAGATGCCAATGAGGTGGTGCTCCATCTTGTTGAAAAATGAAGTCATTCGAATCTGCTTGCAGTAAAGTGAATAGCCAGTTTTGGAGCATTTCGAGATAGGTTTGTCCTGTTTGTAGCTGCACCGGAAGTTATACTAACGACAGCGGTGAAACTGACACCCAAATCAAACTTTGATAACTACTCTATCAAATAACCACTGATTCAGTCCACTACAATGCTAGAGAACTGAGAAAACAGTGAAATGATTTTGGCGTATTCTTTTTGAAACACCCTGTATAACAGAAGATTCAGAAAAGATATGGCAGTAATATTCACTGCACAAAAAATTCCGACGATTGAAATTTTTTGAGTCGACACAGTGAGCCATCAGTTCTGGAAGCAGACCGAGAATTTGATTCAATATAATCATTCAACAGAGAAATATTTGAGAACAAGAAGACAATGAATTTCTCTGCTGGATGCGTACAGCTGCCATGCTAAAGGAAAGGAAAACTGGTTCTCTATGATGATTGAAGATAAGACTTCTGTTTTGGAGGTCTTAAAAAATATTTGCCATTTCTGGCCAAAGTTTTCTCGAATGCGGAGGCTGGGAGCTGAAATAAACGTCGTGTCTAGTCAAATACGGACATCCATTATAAATAATGTTTGTAGGAATAAAAATATGCCGGATTATATAATAAAAATCTATTAATTCTTTCCTTTACGTCTCGGATTTGAAAATCCAGCACTTGACTTTCGAAACTACTTTTAGCATATAATTTACGGTTGCATCGAACCAATTCAACTGTAAATATATGAGACCTTGCCGCCAATCTAGTACTGAGCTTAAAGTCGTAAACTCTAGTTACCATAGCGTAAGATTTATATAAACAATTTCCATGACAGTATTTATAAAAAAAGGCATTGAGAATGCATATTGTGGCACGAAGAATGTGATTGAAGCCATATTTACCCATAATATTCATGGCATGGAGGAATGGTCCACTTGTAAATATATAAGGTAGGTGCAAGAGAGATTTATTTGTTTTTTTTTGTTTTTTTTTTATTAGTTTTCCCCAAGCAAGCCAATAAAGCGAGTAGGACGCAAGAGATTGTTGAGTGTTAGAGAATATGAGACAAAAACTACTAAAGAGAGAGAAAAAGAAAAGAACAAGAATTAAGGAGACAGAATATATCGATTGATTTTGAATTTTTTGAAGATCAAAGTTGGCTGAAAAGCATGGAGCTGGAAGAGAATTCGACAAGTGAGAAGTAAGATGAAGAGATTTTTAACATATAACTGATGGTTGCATCGAACCAATTCAAATGCAAATGTATAAGAACTTTCTGCCAATCTAGAGTTTACATTCTTACCATAGCGTAAAGATCATCAGAACAATTACCATGAAAGTATTTATAGAAAAAGTCATTAAGAATCTATATTATGGCAGTGAGAGTGTCATTGAAGTCGAGATGCCAGGTCAGGACCAATGATATTGCATATTGTTCTTTGGATTTTATCAAGAATCTCTAGATATACTGCATGCACACCGGACCATATTTAGCCGTAATATTCATGGTATGGACAAATGGTCGAGTATATAAGGTAGATTTAGGAGTGAATTTTTTAAAATGATTTTATCCTAAGCAAAGCAGTAATGCCAGCAGGACACAACTGAGTTTTCGAGAATATGAGAAAAACTACTATTAAGAAGACAATAAAAGAACAGTAATCAAGGAGACAATAAATAACGATTGACATTGTATTTAAAGTTTTGAAGATCAAAGTTGGCTGAGAAGCAAAAACCGGAAGTAACTTGCACAAGTACATAGTGTGATGGAAGAAACTGTTAGCATAAAACTTGCGGTTACATCTAGCAAATTCAACTGTAAATTTGTGAGACCTTGCCACCAATTAAGTACTTCTCTTAAATTTATCAAATGTGAGTACCAGTTCATCAGAACCGGAAACAAAATGTCTGAAAATGGCAATTTTCTTTTAATCATTTCATTCCATGCAAGCCACTAAGACAGAAGAGGTTACTGAGTGTGAAAGAATAAGTGAAAAAAAGAGAAACATTATTAAGGATCGAGAACAATAAAAGAATAGCATTTAGACAGAAGAGAGTTTCACAAGTACACAAGTAGTTACTTTGTTTCCAGGGTCCTTCAGTTACTCCTCTGTATACTTTTTCTTCATTATCTGATGATTTTACGGTGGCTTGGTATATTATGTGATTTTGTAAGCAATTACCGTTTAATGGGCATTATTTTTTTTTTTATTTTATAGTTACACTTGGGTTTAATTAAACTAATAAAAATAAGCATAAATAAGCAAGTAACAATAATCAATCCAAATAAATAAATAAATTAATTAATTAAAAACTGTACCCCGCCAAAGTAACAAAATAGACTACGGCAAGGAATCTAAACATTGGACGAATAAATAGCTTTAATTATCTTCCTTGACCAAAACAAACTATTAAATAAGCGACCTAAGCAAATCCACCCCCACAATTTTTTAATACGTTAACAAAACATCAAAAAACGAAAAGAATAAATAATACAAAATTAAAATGAAAAACAAGTAAAATAAACCCCCAAAAATTAAGAAATAAACAAAGAAGCCACTCCCGCAAAAACAACCGCCAGAATAGATTTCCCACAATGCACCACTGGTCCATATATATATAAATAGTCGAGGAAAAAATCCATCATTCGTGGCCTGACAATTGCGTCTAGCATGAAACAGAATGTCGCCTCTGAGTGTTGACTTCAATGTTCACTTTTATATTTATATTTACATACGCTCTGTCTCTGACATTGAGCACTTTATACCATAAATATAGCACACCTTAAAATCTCTCTCTCTCTCTCTCTATATATATATATATATATATATATATATATATATATATGGAGAGAGAGAGAGAAACAGAGAAATAAATAGAGAGATAGACAGATAGAATCTGTCGTAGATATGTAGCGGCATATTCGTTGATAAAGCGGAGAAATAAGCGAATCTTCAACAAGGATCTAGAAATACTCGAATAAATATGCGACAAATGTGAATAATTAATTGTGAGAATTTCAGATTGTATCAATGACTTCCCTGTTCAAAGGTTAACTGAAAAAAAAACTAGCGAAGTGAAAAATGATCACTTTTATAATAATATAATTGGCTCCATGAGAAACCAAAAATTAGATTTATTTAGTCTTCATGTTTTTATGAGTCAATATCGCTAAGCATTTTTGTAATATTATGTACTCGAATAAATTTGCGAAAATGTGAGTAATTGTTAGAATTTCAGATTGTATAACAACTCAATGGCCTCTGTGTTCAAAGTTTAACTGAAAAAAAAAACTAGCGACGTAAAAAATGATCACTTTTA